ATGAGATATTTACTTTAAGCCTACAAACGAATATTATAATATTCAGTTTTATGAGCCAAATTTATTTTATATGCCAACATCTATGAAAGAAAGAGCCAGGCCACTGAGCGCAATGCGTCATTTATGCACAGATGGTTCCGATTTTAATGCCATTTTTGGAGTTTATGTTGTGATCTGTGCGCTCAACCCACCTTTGTCACGTGAGGTTTGAATATATGCAACTTTATGTGAGTGTCTTTATTTGTGGAAAGGGTGTTTGTCTTACCAGTGGGTCCAACATTACACACACAAGCGGCTGCCAGACCTACATTGTCCCCCGCCCTGAATACAATCTGGGACAGATGGTCTGGTTGTCCTCCGAGGACCTCCCTCTTCGAGTCGAGTCATGTAAGCTTGCTCCTCGCTTCATTGGTCCTTTCCCTGTGATTAAAATCATCAATCCCTCCTCTGTTAAACTGAAGCTGCGCAACTCTCTCAACATCCATCAAGAATTCCATGTGTCGCTCTTTAAACTGGTTTCTTCCAGTGTCCTCAGCCCTCAAGCCATTCCCCCTCCACCCCCCCTGGACCATTGATGACCACCCTGCATTCACTGTCTTCAAAGTGTTGGATATTGGGCCCCAGGGATGGAGTTTCCGATACTAAGTTGATTGGGAGAGTTATGGACATAGACTGTATACACTATGGACAACTTGGTTCCACCTACCGCCTGTATACGGATTTGAAGCCAAATAGCTCTCGGTATTTCCAGGATTTTTCTTCTATATTTCCTGAAACCAGCGCTGCACAGTAGCAATGTGCTTCACCCGGGGGGGGGAGTCTATGGTTATGGACCTGAGGAACGTTCTTTGATCTCCCAGAAGCTGATCCTGGATGGGTCGCTGCTCAGAAACTTTTACTTGAAACACCCGGACAAGCCTGGTCGGATGCCAGGTGTTGTCCGTTAAGAGGGAGGTACTGTCATGATCACACTGGTTTTAACTCTTGAGAGCACCATCATTTTTTTGTGTGTGTGGAGTTTCCCTTTTCCCCTTACAGAGGTTGGGTGGCTCCTCTTCAGCTGAAGCTCCTCCTGCACCTTCACACCTGCACCTGATCAACCTAATCACCGCCTGCTCTTAAGTTCTGCTGTCAGAATGTTTAGTGCCAAATTATTCCCGCTTCTTCAGTGGTATGTTGGCCCCTAGCCAGTATTCACAAGTTTTTGAGATTTAGCTGTGACTGTTCAGCCTTATATTTATCCCTGCTGTCTTCCTTTCTCCTCCAGTACCTCCACCAGCACCTGCCCAACCTCTGTCACGACTACCACACTCTCTGCTCAGATCCACTCACCTGCTGTCTCCTCCAGTTCCCTTACTGTCTCTCCCCCTCATCACGGATCTCCTCCACTCCTTGGACCCCGGACCTCTCACCATCCTACACCAATCTTTATTAATAAAATCACTTTTATTTTAAAGACCAAATTGTCTTTGCTGTTTGCTTTTTGGTACCTTCAACAAACCCTAATAAGCACAAGCATGTTGATTACTTTGTGGATGACTGTTTATGTTGGTGTCTATTTTCAAGACATGTTACATAGCCAACAGCGTGATACCTACAATGACATATGGGGCTTAAAAAATCCGCTAAATTAATCTCAGCCCATTTGCTGTATTCTTTGAAATACTTTACTGTATTTCTGAGTTGAGTAAGTTAGCAATTCCAATGTGGTGGCTTCCACTGTTTGGCTTTAAACCCCCTCTGCAGAAACCACTGAGTGAAACTGCTCGACCTATGTTTTTATAACATATGGGTGAGATGGTCCACTTGGTCAGGGTAGAGCATGGCAATGATTGGGTTCTTGATAGAAACGCACCACAACTGGTGTCAAAATATAGCTATATTTGATCCATCTGATCCACTGATGGACACAAAAACAGCAACCGCAATCAGTTTCAGGTTTGATAAATCATTGTGGTGCAAAATATTTACATTTACATCTCCTCCTCCCAGTATTGTGTGTGCTATGATCTGCATATCTGGATATAGTCTGCATACTCATAAAGGCAAACATGCTAAATAAATTCCACATGCTGTTTTGCTCATTTGACAGACACAATCCTCGGTGCACCCAGTTAGCAGATCAGCTTTGCACATATTATCAAATTTGCGCTAGTTTTTATACACGCAAACCTTTTGTAGATCAGGCCCAAAGTGTGATAAATGGTGAGTCATCTAGTTGTTTTGATTCTGGCATGATTGTAATATGTGTACCTACATGTGATTTTGCCACCTCTGAGCTGGAGCTTTAGTTTGTTAATGCAACTTCTAATTTTCTAAGAAGTTTATGAGCTCTGTTGTCATTTATATGAAGCATAATGAATGTTTTCAGTTCAGGAAAAGTTGCAGAAATATGATTATTTTGGGGTTTGGGAAATAAAAAATGATGAATGCTCAAATTGTTCAGATGCTGTCACAATTTTACCTAAAAATAAATAATAAAAATAATTATCAATTTTAATATTATTTTTGATACAGTCTTGGAATAAGGACTCTATATACGTAATCTTTCTGGAACTGACACACAATTCATTATAAGACAGCAAATGAAAATGAATAAATAAACAGATAAATACATACATGCTCTATAGAAGACACCAAAGCTGCAAGCATATTAAAACTAATCATTTTTACTCTTTCGAATAACATAAATATTGATGTATGGTTACAGGAAATGGTTTAAATACAGGTGTTTCTGGTTGTATTTTAACAAATGTGTGACTGGGCAACAAAAACACATGAGCAGCTGGAAATTGATAGTAGTCTGAGATTGCAATCGAATTTTCTCTCCTTTTAAATGGTTGGTAAAAACAGGATAGTCCATCATTGAGGGGCTCCATGTGCAGCCTTTGATATTTGCTCTTTGATATTGACCACACAATCAATAGAGCTTTCTTATAGCAGAGCTGGTAATATTACTCAATTTTCGCAGTTAGGTAATATTATTCCTGTAAGAGCCTATCTATCGATTTTACCACACAGACCTTTTGCTATGAAGGGCTCTGGTCCACTGCTGGGACTACAACACTACTCAATTAAATGGACTCTGCAAATATACAGACTTCACATTTACTTAATTTATTATCTCTTAATGTCTGCTGTTTACCAAACATAATTAAGCCTGGTCTAAAATCAAGTCCAGAAACAAAGCGCATAAGAGAGAATATCAGGGGATACTGGGATTAAGAACAGTTTTATTCAACTAATTTAAAGCCCTCTTGAAGATTTTGAGCTGGTTATGAAACAGACTGAAATAAATAGTGATGGTTTTTGTCTACAAAAGCACAACCATCAGCAACAAGATTACTTGTATGTACTATAAAATTTGGTGTATTATTATTATCAATATAATAATAATAATAATAATTATTATTTCATACAGAAGGATGGTCTTCCTGCTAACCCTTAGGGCTGTCGCACTGCCAACGGTGCCGATGGTGGACTGTGCGTGGCTGGGGCGTCCTCTTCCCTGAGCCAGGTCTAAACCTGACCGCATACCAAAGGAAAAGGGGAGCTAAGTTTCGCTGCAGGGTCTTCAGCTGGGGACCACCGTTCACGGATGTTTCGCCCCTTATCCAGAACATCTCCTGGTGGCAGGGCAGTGTACAGGGACGTCTCCCTGACACCCCCTGCAGCCAAACTTAGCTTGATGTTCCCCCCCGAAGACTTGTCTCGTCGTCTCAACCAGAGCCAGTGGCTTGCCTTCTCTGCTTCCTCTGAGAGTTCTTTTGTGGCTTTACTCAATCTGGCTCCCCGTAGCCCCACGTCCTTGAGTAGGCGAGACGTGGAGCTGCCAAGGAATCCTCTTGATCCCACCTCCACTGGGTATGTCCTCGCTTTCCACCCACTTTCCCTGCACTCCGCAACCAGGTCAGCATACTTTGCCATCTTCCTTTCGTAGGCAGCTTCCAGTCCCTCCTCCCATGGCACTGTCAGCTCAATCAGCAGGACTGACTTTGTGGCTGCAGACCACAGCACCACATCTGGTCTTAGGGTGGTGGTGCAGATCTCCTGTGGGAACTGGAGCCGTCTACCCAGATCCACCTCCATCTTCCACTCCGCCCCTGGTGCTAGCAGCTTGGTGGGTGGTGGTCTCTTGCTGGAGTGTTCTGCAGGTTCCCCCTGTCTAAGGAAGTGGATCCTGTGTTGCTTTATTGATGGACTGAGCTTGTTGGCCTCCTGGCGACTTCTCTCCAGCACCTCTGCCAATTTCCTGAGAACTTGGTCATGCCGCCATGTGAACCGACCCTGTGTCAGAGCTGTTTTGCATCCTGACAGGACGTGCTGGAGGGAGGCATTGATGGTCCCACAGAGGTCGCAGGATTGCTCTGTTCCAAGCCACTGATGGAGATTTTGGGGGCTAGGTAGTGTGTCATAGGTCGCTCGGATGAGGAAACTGAGTCGAGCTTGTGGCACTTTCCAGAAGTCTGCCCAGTTCATTGCTCGGTTCGTGACACCCTCCCAGTTCGTCCAGCGCCCCTGCTGCCCCTGTGCCACAGATTTCACTCTGAGCTCCTCCTGTTCCACTCTGGTGACCTCAGCAACAACAAGGTCCTTTCTCTCCTTCCTGTTTGCCTTGGACAACAGAATGGGAGGGTCTGTCCATCCAAGGCCTGCCCGCCCTGTCTGGACCCTGCCCACAACTTCCTGGTGTTGCAGCCTGCACATCACCTTCTGGACCTCATCCACAGCCTTCCATTTCCTTCCCGTTGCAACTCTGGCATTTGCTTCTGCCACTGTCCTGTCGGAGGAGTCCCTTAATTCCATCACCAACCTCGCCTTCTCCTGCCTGTATCCCAGCATGATGGATTTCAGCGGTAGTTGTAGTGAGTTCTGACCATATAGGCCAGCTGCAGAGAAACATCGCGGCAGTCCGAGCCACTTGTGGATAAAGAAGTTGGCTTTTGCCTCCATCCGACTTACAGCTGATGAGGTGACTTCGCACAGTTTCAGAGGCCACATCACTCTCGGGTACAGGGTGAAGTGATAGCACCACACCTTGTGCTTTCCGGGTAGCTGGCTTGAGTCGATTTTTGACAGGCCTTCTGAAAGCTGCTGAAGGATTTTCCCATGTCCTTGTCTGAGAGACCAGATGTATAGAGTCTACCCAGGCTTTGGATGGGCTGGTCCGCGATGAGGGGGATGACTTCTCCGCCGATGGTGAAGGTGACTCTGTCATTCCGCTCCCCTTTCCGAAGCGAGAGGCTCCTTGACTTCTGTGGCTTAAACTTCATCCTTGCCCAGGAGATCAGTTCGTCCAGCCTCTTCAGCAGCCTGGATGTGCATGACGCAGTTCGTAGCAGGCACGTGATGTCGTCCATATAGCTCCTTAGGGGAGGGAGCCTCTGACCTGCAGGCAATCGGACGCCACCCACCACTTGCCTTGCCCCGATCAGGATGACCTCAAATGCTGCCACGAAGAGGATGGGGGAGATGGAGCATCCCATTGCAATCCCTACTTCCAGTTGTTGCCAACCAGTATTGAACTTCTTCAGTGCAAAGAACATGTGCAGGTCCTGGAAGTACTTCATGATCATGTTCTTGATGTTGTCTGGAATGTAGAAGAAGTTAAGGGCGTATGCTATCAGCTGGTGTGGCACTGACCCGTAGGCATTGGCTAGGTCCAGCCAAATGGCATGCAGATCTTTCTTCTCCCTCTTGGTGGTCTGAATCTGTTCCAAGATCATTGAGGCATGCTCCACGCAGCCAGGGAACCCCGGTACTCCGGCTTTCTGGCAACTGGTATCGATGAAGCTGTTTTCCATCAGATAGATGGTCATTCTTCTTGCCATCACAGAGAAGAATATCTTTCCCTCCACGTTTAGTAGGGCTATGCTCCTGAACTGCTCAATGGTCTTGGCGTTCTGTTGTTTTGGGATGGAGACAGCCACTGCCCTTTGCCACTCGGATGGTATGCTCTGCTTCGTCCAGGCGACTCTCATCAGGGTCCACAGGAGCTTCAGCACGCTAGGGCAGTTCTTATAAAGCTTGTACGGTATTCCGTTTGGCCTTGGTGCTGATGCAGATCTTGCTCGCTGGATCACCTGTGTGACCTCGCCGAGTTTGGGTGGTGATGTATCAAACAGGGCTGGTGGTTCTGTGGGCCTAGGCACATACCCCGGTGAGCCTAGAGCAGTGGTTCTTAACCGGGGTTCTATCGAACCCTAGGGGTTCGGTGAGTCGGTCTCAGGGGTTCGGCAGAGCCTCCGCCACGGTAGCCTGGCTGGGCCATCCTGTTGCGTCAATCGCTTGATGTTCCTTCCCACCACAGTCTGGACTTCGGCCCATAGAGAGCGTGTATTCCAGATCAGAAAATAACCAGGCCAATCAGAGACCGTGTTTCCACTGTTACCCGGACAACAGGGAAAGGCAGCCCCTGATTGGTCCATGTGTAGTGGTGACGTCTTACACATGCTGCGGGACTTTTCAAAGCCCCGTTCATTTAGAACAACGTGAATTCTGCAGTTGACTCTGCAAAGTCGGCAGAAATTGTTTATATCCGACGTCCTCTGCTGATATAAACGATTTCTGCCGACTTTGCAGAGTCAACTGCAGAATTCACGGTGTTCTGAATGAACGGGGCTTTGAAAAGTCCCGCAGCATGTGATTGGTCTGACACCAATCAGGGGCTGCCTTTCCCTGTTGTCCGGGTAACAGTGGAAACCCGGTCTCTGATTGGCCCAGTTATTTTCTGATCGGGAATACACGCTCTCTATGGGCCTAAGTCGAGACTGTGGTGGGACTGTTAATCCATACTAACTATGTCGAGCAAAAAAAGAAAGTGGTCGGACGAATATGTACAACATGGATTCACATGTATCACGGAACGTGATGGGAGTCAGCGTCCTATCTGCATGATTTGCAATGCCAAGTTGAGCAACTCTAGTCTCGCACTGGCAAAACTGAAGGAACACTTCTTGAAGCTGCATGGAGATGGGGAATACAAGAACACAACGCTTGCTGAATTCAAGGTGAAAAGAGCCAGATTCGATGAAAGGGCCACTCTGCCTGCTCTTGGATTTATACCCATAAACAAACCGATCCTCACCGCATCGTACGAAGTTGCTTACCTGATCGCAAAGCAGGGCAAGCCGCACACCATCGGTGAAACACTCATAAAACCAGCGGCGTTAAAGATGGCGAATCTGATACTCGGAACAGCGGCCGAAGGTAAATTATCCCAGATTCCTCTTTCAAATGACACCATCAGTGACAGAATAGAGTGCATGAGTAAAGACATCTTGGCTCAAGTGGTCGCAGATCTAATTTCAAGTCCGGCAAAATTCAGCCTTCAACTCGACAAGACCACAGACGTTTCTAATCTAAGCCAGCTTGCTGTTTTCGTGCGCTATGTGAAAGACAACATGATAAAAGAGGAGTTTTTATTTTGTAAGCCTCTTACAACAACAATTAAGGCAGCCGATGTGAAGAAGCTTGTGGATGACGTCCTCAGAGACAACAATCTTTCATGGGATATGGTTTCTGCAGTTTGTACGGACGGAGCTCCAGTCATGCTGGGAAGAAAGTCTGGTTTTGGTGCGCTAGTAAAAGCCGATGCACCACACATCATTGTTATGCATTGTATTCTGCATAGGCATGCGTTGGCAACAAAAACCTTGCCTCCAAAAATGGCAGAAGTATTGAAAACTGTAGTGGAATGTGTGAACTATGTGTGAAATAGTGCTCTGAGGCACCGCATCTTCAGTGAGCTGTAAAGAAATGGGCTCTGAATTCGAGGTACTCCTGTACCATTCTAATGTTCGGTGGTTATCCCGGGGACAGGTGCTGAATCGTGTTTTTGCCATGCGTGTGGAATTAGTCCTGTTTTTGCAAGAGCACCAACATTGTCATGTAGATTGCTTCAAAAATCCTGAGTTCATTCTCATTTTAGCGTACATGGCTGATATATTCGCAACTCTAAATCACCTCAATCAGCAGATGCAGGGTGGTGGAGTCAACATCATGGAAGCAGAAGAAAACCTGAAGGCTTTTCAAAAAAAACTACCGTTATGGAAACGACGAACAGAGAACAATAACTTCGCAAACTTTCCCCTTCTGGACGACTGTGTCAGTAAGATCGAAGATGTGTCTGGAATCGGAGACATTTCTGTATCCATGGAACTGAAGCAAACAATTGCTACGCACTTAGATGAGCTTGCAAAGTCTCTCGACGGATATTTCCCTACAAGAGAGTCATATCCAGCATGGGTGAGACAGCCGTTCCCGTTTGCTGTTGAGACAGCAGATGTCAATGATGAATACCTCGACGAAATCATTGAAATTCAGCAGAGCCAGGTTCAACAGCAACTCTTCAGAACAACAACACTCTCAACGTTTTGGTGTCGACAGTTGGAAAAGTACCCAATTATTGCTAAGAAAGCCCTGGAATTTTTTATACCATTTGTAACAACATATCTCTGCGAAAAAATCCTTTTCGAGGATGCTGGACATAAAAACAAAGAAAAGGAACAGACTTTGCTGTGAAAATGACATGAGAGTAGCACTTGCCAAGGTGAAGCCACGCATATCTGAACTGGTCTCTCAAAAACAACAGCAGAAGTCACACTGATTTGCAGGTATGTAATTTGTTGTTAGTTCATGCACTGTGTTGGTTTTGTTCTTTGATCAAGGTGATGTTCATGTACGGTTCATTTTGTGTACCAGTAAAAAAACATATACCATATGTCTTGAATTTGGAAAAAAATCATGTTTGATTTATCACTAAAGAAGGGTTCGGTGAATGTGCATATGAAACTGGGGGGTTCGGTACCTCAAACAAGGTTAAGAACCACTGGTTTAGCACTTTTCTGGTGACCTCCTTTCCTCCTCTCCACCTCTCCCTCTCTCCTCCTCTCCTCCCATCCTCATCTCCATTACTCCTCCTTTCCCCCTCTCCTCGAGCCACACAGTGTGTAAACAAAAACCTTTATGTCCTCGATGAATAAATACACTTAAGAGGTTGATTAGTGGAGAGGAGGAGACAGGCCGAAGCCTAGCATAGAGCAGCAGTCATCTACTCCTGTCTACTCAAGATATATCTTGATTTGGTGGTGCCTGGGGTGGGGGTGGGGGATTGCATAGAACCTTACTTGGGGTGGGGCCGTTTTGCTGAACTGCACAGCACAAAAGAGGTCAAATTTTGTTGTGGCACTATTGCTTGCAAAAGTACAGTTTTTGCAAAATAATTTAAATTATTTAACTGAGAACTGTATTTTTTTTCTCTTAGCTTCTTCAGAAGTTCTCAGCAACCTACTGTGCTTCTGGGTTGGATGGAATGTTCTGCCAAGAGAATTGGACATTGAAGTTGTGGAGACCACCTTTTTCAAGTCATCCACCTGTTTCATGCAGTTGAAACTACCAGGGCACTACAGTCTGTACACAACCTTCTACTGCAGACAGTGGCTTTGGGCTTGTATAAATGTAGTTTTAAGAGTTTACAGTTAGTCTGGGAGCCATGGGGGTGAACGTGGTTTCGTCGGTTAAAGTTTTTTTCTCAACTGATTCTTGCTGCTGGGGGTCCCCTCTTAAGGATTCAAGAGGGTGCTCAGTAAAATCCCTTGAGCATTTTTTGTTATTAACCCCTTAATGCCCAAAACACTAAAAATTCACCCAAAACAGACTTCTATGGTATTTCATGCAAAATACCTGATCTCAGTGCATAAAATTTGCTTTCTACAGTTTGTATCCATGTAAATGGATGTGTACAGTGCATTAGATTTAATATGTATGCATTTTCTAATATTAATTAGTGGATACATACATTTTTTTTTCTATGGACAGCAGTGTTGTTTTCGTCTACGTCATCGTCAACGAAAACAAAACTCCACGTGTTTGCGCGCGCGTGCGTGTGTGTCTGTGTGTTGGAGGAGCACAGCAGGCTGATGACAGCTGTCAGAGCGGACAGAAGCTGCTCCTCTATGTTTAGCGTTTAACTGACTGAGTTTTGCAACTCTGTTCGTCATTTTCGTCTCGTCCCATCAACGTAAACGCACTTTCGTCTCGTCACATTTTAGTCATCTCCGACTTATGTTTAGCTCGTCAACGTTACGTCTTCGTCGTGGAAGAAAAGGGAAACATTTCCGTCAACAAAAACAACCAGTGTTGTTCTCGTTGACGAAAATATTTCCTTTTGACGCTGGTGTTGACGAAAATATTTGACGAAATATGACGAAAACAACACTGATGGACAGTAACTAACCCTACCTTTATGTGAACATAAGGTGAACACATGGAACATTGCTTTCAGGTCTTTAGATAATGACCACAATAACTTAATGACCTATTATGGCAAAACTTCACAGCCTTGTATTTTTACTCTTTAATTACAGGTTGATTTGGAGTATGGAGTGGACTGGACTGGACCCTGTGGTCACCGACAGCGAGATGTTGTGGTCCCTGAAGTCCAGCTTCGGCGGCCACTGACTCTGCAGGAAGTAGAGCAACTACCAGAGCCTGATGGCCCTCTGTCCAGTTCAATTGATGTGTACATGCAAACAGTAAGCCGATTATCAGGAAGGCTGCAATGAATTAAAAAATAAATGCGGTGAGGTTACAGAATACCTGTACTACCCTGTCATTGCTGTACCCACCCAGACTTATATCCAAAATAATAATAAAAAGACATACAGTACTGGCCAAAAGTTTGGACACACCTTCTCATTCAATGTCTTTTCTTTATTTTTTATATGAATATTTACATTGTAGATTATCACTGAAGGCATCAAAACAATGAATGAACACATGTAGGATTTTGTACTTATAAAAAAGTGTGAAATAACCGAAAACATGTTTTATATTCTAGTTTCTTTAAAATAGCCATCCTTTGGTCTTGATGACATAAGTACCTTGTCAGGGTTATTTCAGGCACTCCTGTGAATTAAAAACCATTTCAGGTGACTACCTCATGAAGCTCATTGAGAGAACAGCTAAAGTTTGCAGCGCTATCAAAAAAGCAAAGGGTGGCTACTTTGAGAAATCTAAAATATAAAACATGTTTTAAGTTATTTCACACTTTTTTCTTAAGCACATGATTCCACAAGTGTTCATTCATAGTTTTGAGAATCTACAATTTAAATAGTAATGAAAACAAAGAAAATGCATTGAATGAGAAGGTGTGTCCAAACTTTTGGCCTGTACTGTAATAAATGACTCATTGAAAGAAAATATTTCGTCAAAGGTCTTGTGTCAGTAATAGAAACCTATAAAGCAGCACACTCAATTCACTCACAATTGAACTGAAGATTCTTCTTATTCTTTCTTCTTCATTTGGTTGCTTTCTGGTTACTTTCTTCCCTTCTTCTATTTCTTAACTCTTCCCTTTGAGTACCTTGCTCTTAAACCAGAACAAACTAAACTAATCCAACTTAGTCCGGGAGCCAAAGGGTGATTTTTGGCTGAACATGGTTTCGTCAGTTAAAGTTTTATTCTCAACAGATTCTTGCTGCTGGGGGTTCCCTCTTAAGGATTTTGTTATTAAAAAACAAAGAGGTACAATGTAGGCTTTCAGAGGGGCTTGTTGAAAACTACCCTTATTAACAGTCAATCTATTATTACAAACAGAAATACTAAAATCTTACCTGCATTGGGTCCTGCTTTGCATCATGAAGTGACCACAGTTGAAGTGGGGACTGATTTCCCTCGGTTCTCAGTCTGTGGCAGTTCCAGCCCTGCCGGAAACTCTCCAGGTGCCTCTGAATGTGAGGCAGAGAGCACCAGTGTAGACCATAGAGATGCACTTCGTTGTCTGGATTTAGGAAACCTTCTGACTCCAGGTTGGTAAAGATGGTGTAGAAGAGATCCAGTACACCCACATAAACATCTCTCCAGAGCCTCTCTATTCTGATGCAAAAAAAGGAAAACTATGTAATTCTCTGGTCATGTCTGTATTAATCTAGCTGTAAGCATGTAGCATACATCATCGGCTATGCACAGTATTATGCAAAATTCATTTCAAAAATTAAGTTTTATGTTCCTCATATATGTCCCAGGGGCTCTAAACGTGAGTAACTCGTTAAGTACAATAAAAGAAAATTCTGAAATTCAAATGTAAAGATGAATGCAATTATGCCTTGCAAATGCTTCAGTTTCATCCCACAATTTATATTTAGAATAGAATCTTTTATTTTCACTGTAAACATTGTCACCCACATGAACTGTGTGAAGCAGTTTTGCAGCTCCCCATGAGAGCAAAGCAGAAAAGATAAAAGCAGAGTCAATAAAAAATAACAATTACATAAGACTCATAGTGGTGCATTTTTGTGCAAAGGGTGCAGAGAGACCCGTCAAGGTCAACGTGCAAGGGGTGGAGGGGGTTATTGCATATACTAGGATGTGTGTCATATCGGGGTCAGACTTAGTGTGGGGTGACAGGGGTGAAGGCTTTAACAGCCTTGTAGAAGAAGCTGTCAGATGGCCCTGTTGTTCTGGATTTGGGGGTGGGATATATTTTGCAGTATCTAAAAACATGCATGTCACCTTACCTAGTGATAAAATTTGTGTTGCCTTGAATAAAAATAAAACCTTCCTGCATATACGTAGATAGATGTTTTATGTAGCAAAAAGGAAGATGAAAATATTACCTTTGATTATGGACACTCCTTCCAGCAATATAAGAGTTCCTGTCGAGTCCTCGATTGGCTACCATGTAGCGTGCAACATCAACATTTTCGCCCCCTTTATCTGACCTCACACAAGATGGCAGACCGTAGACATCAACAGCTTCTTGAAAGTTTCTCAGGACTGTTGATGCTCGATTGTTTGTGGCAGCCCTCAGGTACACGATAAGGCAACTAAAGCCATCAATTCCACCATGTACAACAAAATGCCACCTGAAAGATTTAGAAAGAGGATGCAATATCCTGTATCAAACATCGTCTCACAGGCAGTGTGTTGGTGTTTGAATGTCTTAAATTAATATCACCTATCACCTACCAAAAGCCCAACATAAGCTGGCTAAATATAGGTCTTGATTACACATTGACTGCAACAGGTTTATCCAAATCGGCCAATAGCCTCTGCCAAAATCGATCAACTTTGTATTAGCAAACAAGGGTAAATAATAAGAAACACAAAACAGTAGGACACTCATCAATTCACTTAAAAAACAAGACATATAATTTCTGGTGGGTTGGGTGATAAAAATCCTGCTACAATCTCTTGATTTCAGGATAATGCCACATAATACGTTCTGCCTTGACTATGCCATCATGATAGAGCCTAAAAGAAACAGACTCTTTTCATAACTTCTGAGGAGAAACTACTTGTTTCAGGTGTTTCGCCGGCTGGATTTATTGACATTGAGGGGGTGAGGGGGGAAGTCGCACTTTTGTTGACCACTTTCCTTCGTTTTTACGCAATCGCCTTTTTGTATTTTTTCTGATCAATAAACTAATGGAAGATGATTGTAAAATGAAGATCGGAGTCATGGATCAGCGCGTCTGGGAGGTAAACTTCCCCTACGCTTAGCCTCTCTGCGACTATAAGCTTTTGGATATGATAGTCGCCGCAATAAAATGTTTCCTTTTGAATCTAGCAGAGTTTGAGTACAGGGTGGTTCAACATCAAGATTGTGTGTTGCCCGCTCACATCTGATATCTTCATACAGTACAGGCCAAAAGTTTGGACACACCTTCTCATTCAATGCATTTTCTTTGTTTTCATTACTATTTAAATTGTAGATTCTCAAAACTATGAATGAACACGTGGAATCATGTGCTTAAGAAAAAAGTGTGAAATAACTGAAAACATGTTTTATATTTTAGATTTCTCAAAGTAGCCACCCTTTGCTTTTTTGATAGCGCTGCAAACTTTAGCTGTTTTCTCAATGAGCTTCATGAGGTAGTCACCTGAAATGGTTTTTAATTCACAGGAGTGCCTGAAGTAACCCTGACAAGGTACTTCTGTCATCAAGACCAAAGGATGGCTATTTTAAAGAAACTAGAATATAAAACATGTTTTCGGTTATTTCACACTTTTTTTATAAGTACAAAATTCTACATGTGTTCATTCATTGTTTTGATGGCTTCAGTGATAATCTACGATGTAAATATTCATATAAAAAATATAGAAAAGACATTGAATGAGAAGGTGTGTCCAAACTTTTGGCCTGTACTGTATATCAACCTCCTTCTTTTTTTATAGATTAATACAAACCAAGATTATTCTAAACCTTAGTTTACAAACAGGACAGAAAGTGTGTTTTCAATGCTAGAACTATTCTCTGTGCTGAAGAAGCACTAAAATCAAGAGGTTGTAGCAGGATCTAAAGCAAGACCGTGCATGAGTTTATTCAGACAGTTGAAATACAAGCTACTACCACATGTCAAACATGAACACAATCAGATCAGCCTGCTTAAGGTTTCTTTGATATGGTTAAACTAGTTTCTAATGTTATACCTTATCAATTTGTGGTTGCCATCTATGTGCCACAAACTGTTTGGTCCTAGTACACAGTACCTCCTGCGCCTGCATGGGTTCAACTGGAGTGTACGCATCAAAATTCCATGAGGATCCTCACGCTGCACAGATTCCTGCACACGTTGTCCTATATGCAAAAAGAGGTCACAGAATCAGGTGTACTCCAATGCAAAGATGACCCTGGACCAGCTGGATTAGCTCTTGGCAAGATAATTTCTGTTTAAGTTCCGGGTTTTCCGTACTACAAAGGTGGATATCTTTTTATCTTATTTATTTATTCATTTATTTGTTGTTGTTGCCCCCCCTTTGTAATAATAATAATAGCCTACCTTTGTAATGCTACCTTTGTTAACGGACACCCGGCTCGTTTTGGTTGAATTTAATGTAACTGGATTTAATTTAGATACATTTGCACTAGCCTTATTGTGATTCAGTCTTTTTTTTATTACACAACACTGAATTGATGAATAAACGCTGGTATCAACTCCATAACCGGACATCCATCTGCAGACAGTTTCTTCTGCTGAGGTTTACAGGAAGACGCTGCGTGCTTGCGCTGTTTGGTAGTCATGGAAACATGAATCCTCCAAAGTTGAGCGCTTTTTGTCCAGATGTAACAACAAGTATGTGTAAACGCAGACGACATTAACTTAAAATGAACCAACCTACTGCGTATAGTGACGTGCTAAATGTAAGTAATACAAAAAAACATATTACCTTATTCCATACTGCGCCATCCTACGATGAATCGTTCACTCACATACCCTAAACAACTGAGCAATCTCTGGAACGGTGTTTCCCAAAAGCAGGCGAGCCTCAATGAGATGAGGAGAAATTGTGTATCGTGGACGCCCAAAGGTCGCTTGCTCGTCCTCTCTTAATGAGCGGAGTTGAAGTTCGTCGGCAGCTTCTTGCAGACCAGCCAGCACCACGTCGACTTCTATGTCCCACTCAGCAGGGACTTGAGCTAAATCTTGAAGTACTCTATCAAGACGGAAACTCAGAAAGTCGGATGACTCATTATTATCAATGCTGTCCGCTAATCTCCTCAGAGCAGCAGCCACAGAGCGCTTGAAAGTTTCCATTCTTTCGGCAGCTGAAGAGAAAATGCCGGGGGGGGGGGGGCAAGAAATTCAAATCTAGGCAGCACCAGTAGATTCGAGCCTTCACATCGATGTGACCAGTCGGGCTTTAGACGAACGTAGGTCCGCCTACCTTATTTGCATATTTACATTGCAGTGTGACACGTCTGACACGGACACATAAATAAATAAATGTGGAAATAAATAAATAAATGAATGAATAAATAAATAAATATATATATATATATATATATATATAAATAAATAAATACATAAATAAAAGTAAAAATAATTAAATAAATAAAAGTATGAATAAATAAAAGTAAAAATAATTAAATAAATAAAAGTATAAATAAATAAATGTGACAATAAATAAATAAATAAAATTAAATATAAATAAATATAAAATAAATAAAGGCAAAAAAAAATTTAAATTACCTTTTATTTTTCAAAAATTATTCAATTTTTTTATTTATTCATGTATTTAATTTTTTATTTATCCTTTTATTTATTTATTTATATATTTATTTATTTCTACTCATGTCATTTTTCGTCCTCCATAGCTAACACCCGTCGCCCGACATCAAAATGGCAAGTCAGAGAAAAGTGGACACTGAAAATCGCTGATTCGATGACGAATGGACCAACAAATATATGTTTAGCCAACCTCCTTAGAGCACAAAGCCAATGTGTCTTTTGTGCAAAAGCACTGTTGCTCTGATAAAAAGTGAAAACATAAAACGCCATTATGAGAAGCGCCACCACGATTTTAATATAGATTGCCCCCCAAAATCAGAGCTACGAGCAGATAAAATAAAAAAGCTGAAAAAGTCATATAAGGCGTCTTGCACGAAAATGACCTCATGCATAACAGAACAGCAAAAGGCAACATGCATAACAGAACAGCAAAAGGCAACAGTGCTTACTCAAGGTGGCCCGGATCATGGGTAAGCACAAAAAACCATTTCATGATGCAGAAATGATAAAAGAAATTTTGACTGCAGTGATGCACACCTTGTTAGAAGGCAAATAAAAGGAGACAATAGCAGCTTTCCTGTGCTTCCCAGTGTATGTATTTAAAAAAAGGGGGCTCTTTTTTTTTTTTTTTTTTTTTTTTGCACCTTAATGACTGAAGTTTTGCCATTTGTTTACCAAAGAACAATATGAGGGTTTGGTTATGTTATATTTGCTAAAAGGAAAAGGACATGGACCTATGACTCCCTCAAAATGTATTTTCTGGACCTTTTACATCTCTAATTGAGAACCCCTGATATAGACGATAGATCCCTAAGCATAGTGGTTCTGCCCTGTCTGATGGCACGTACCCTGCCCTATTTGGAAGTGTGTTTTAAGTGTAGCACAGCAAAGTGCAGCTTGGACTAAGAAAACTATAAAATCACACAAGAACTGCAGGAGATCTTGCAGCATTGCCAAGATCACCATCTACCGACAAGTTACAATTTCAGTGCCTTTATTTACTGCTTATTTGGATAGTACTCCGTGACTTTTGTGCCATCACCACTGGTTAGTGCGGTGCATAATTAGAAAGTCTAGACTTGAATGAATGTGAATTCATGTTCAATTGTTTTTGCTGTTACATATACAGAAACAGTTATGAGCTGCGTGTTGTAGTTGATGTCAGTCACAGGCCTTTTTAATAAAACCTATCCTCTGAGTTTAACTTATCTTTGCACTGTAATATATTATCTGCTGTCTGTTCATGATGTTTTATTGTGAATATTGGATGTTTCAAAAAATCACCATCAAAAGTTTCTTTTGAAGATTTTTTTTTTTTGTTGTTGTTGTTGTTGGTTTTTTTTTTTGTTGTTGTTGTTGGTTTTTTTTTTCCTGATACCTGATATTGTGACAGCCCTGTTCTTCACGCTTCCCATGTGCATTCATGTACACACGAGGTCAATAAAGCATGTTTCAGCTGCAGGTTCAATATTTCCCTCACTAAACCTTTAGTCTTTGCAGCACATCACAGCAGCTGCAAAGCAACCAGACATTTCTTTTTGATAACTTGATCGGAAATCACTTTCAGCCTGCAGTAAATACACAGATGTAATAATTTCCTCGTCTCCATCAGTTAAGAGAACAGTCGATTCATGTGTGAGTGCGGGTGAGTGCTTCGGTGATAAATTGGAATGAAATGCAAAGCCGCTGGATCCAGACTGACAGCTCCAAGTCAATGAGCAGTCAGGTATATAAGCGTACTACCTCCTAGGAGTCTATTTTTCTGACTGACACAAAAGTTCAGCTGGGTTACTGTTTTCTCAGCATAAGGTGATTCTTCAAGCGTGTAGCAGTAGGACTCTCTGAGGGAAATGAGAGTGAATGCTGTCAGGCTGCTTGTTAAGAAATAAATGCACAACATGAAAAGTAAGATTGAGACATGGATGGTGTGTTTAAAGAACTGGTACACGCACATTTGCTGACAATCATCATCAAAACTGTTTAGCAACAAATCCGCTGCTTTACAAGCCGTATTTCCCCCATTGGGCAGTCTTCCACTGTTCATTTGATCAACTAATTCTGTTCATAATAATGTTCATACGCTCCAAAGGGCACTCAATTTCACAAAGATATCGCAGCATACAGTAAAACACCAGGGGCCTCATGTATAAAGCTTGCTTACACACAAAACCTGGCTTGGAAGTGCGTAGACCACTTATTAAGCAAGAGTTGGGATTTATTAAAAAAAAACAGCGTAGGAATGTGGGCAACTTTAAGCAAACTCCACACCTTGCTTACGTACTTTTTGGAGACAATTGGAGCAAGGTGAGAACAATTTGTTAATGGAAAGCGCGCGTATAAAAAGCCATACGGTGACAGTCGTGTGCAATGCAGCACAATGGATGCACTTGCGCTTCTCGAAGACCACACCAATGGACGGATCCGGCTGGAGAGGGTGTTCCAAGATCGGGAAGATTTTCTGGCTCATGATGATGAATGGCTAATAAGCCGTTTTAGACTCCCTAGAGCCTTGCTCTTGGATCCAATTGCTGAATTGAGTCCAATTTTCGAGCACCCAACACACCAGAACCGCGCCATACCGGCACACGTTAAGGTGCTGACAACAATTGGTTTCTTGGCAACGGGCTCGTTCCAGAGGGAATTGTCGGACAGGTATTTATTATGACAGCTATATCACAATATAGGCGTAATTTAAATGTACAGATTCACAAAATATTATGCACAGAACTCTGCGCAGGACCCGGAAGAGTGGGAATTTTAAATGGCTGTGTGTGTGGACTGCAAAATAAAAAACTCACGGTTGGAAGAGAAGCTTTGTCGTCTGCAAAACGATCTCCGTGAGAAGGATAGGCTGCTGGAGGGCTTCATATCCGTAGCTTCAGCTCAAGCTAAACATGTATCCCTGAGTCAGGCCTCCAGGATCACCGGTCTTTCGCCCTCAGCTCTGGCACCACAGCTGGTTTCAGCCTCCGCTGCCACTCTGCCCTGGATAGCCTCCCTGCATTCTCCGAACAGGCTGGCCTGAGGGCCCTGCAGCCGGGGGTCCAGCCTGCTCACCCGTGCCACACAGTGCAAAGCCAGCAGGCTGTCTTTCCACCTCTCCTCCTGCGCATTGGTACAGTCAGGATCTGAGACCGCTGGACGATCCTGATACTGGCATGGCAAGCTGGACTTGGGAGCCAGATAAAAGTTCAGAGTAGGTTTTAATCGAGCAAGGGTTTGGTACACTGGAAGGCAGTCACAAAGGCAGAGGTATCCACATTGGCAGGCAAAAATCTGTCCAAAAAACACCATCTAAGTCAAAAACAGAAAGGCAAACACTAGGGAAAATGTTTGACACAAGGGAACAAGACGAACTGGCACAGAAGGGAGAGAGGGCTGAGCTTCAATACACACAGGAAGTGGAGGTAACAAGACACAGGTGGACCACATAAGGGCAATCAGGGAGCAGAGCACACAAGGGCAGGAAGTCAAGAGACCTGAATCAAGAGACACAGGTAAGTTTCAAAATAAAACAGGAAAGTCACAACAAGAAACATGAGGAAGGGTGAATAAATTAACTTGACTAAACCATAGACATTAAAAATATGATCTTTCACATCTGTGTGGGCATTTTAAATGAAGTATTACATGGTTCTTGTGACTCATACACTGTGGGGCAGCTTTCTTCATCTGTGTGTGTGTGTTTTGTAGTTTGAAAAGCAACCTGAGCACATCCATCCACACCTCTGTCTGCATGTGGGTCAGACGAACAGGATCCTTCTGCTGTGACTGTGTTACCCTAGCACAGATTCTCTCCATAGCACAGTCTGTTTTAGGGCCCACAACATCTGCGAGTGACAGGCCACACAGGTCCAGGAGCCCAAGAGAGAAGGGGTCTCACCCGGACCCAAGGGGGAGCTGCAGACCACAGCAAACATCTGATGTAGAAGACCGGCTTCTCCCAATTTCTATTCTGAAACCTAACAGTGAACTTGATGAGTGCTATTATTTTGCAATGCCCCTCATCCCTCAATTGCACTCTACGGACCATAACAGGGGGCTGCAGGCCAAAAATGGTATTCTGAATGTACTTGATAACATAGAGAGTAGTACCCTCAATGCAGGAGTCCAGACAACAATTCATGCTTACTCCACCTCAGCAACCCCCCACATTCACCCACCTCTTGCACCTTGGCATAGGTCAGGTGCTTTCAGGCCTTTAAAATGTCCCCCACCAGTAAACCCTATAGGGCAATTCACACATATGATGGCCTCAGATGACACTAGTTGGGGGACAGTGTAAACTTTGTGTACCTTGTGTTACAAATCCTGTCTACTTTCATGCTTGTTTTCATTCATGAACTCTCCTCATGCATGTTAGCGATGACAATACAACTACCCACAGGTTTGATGTTGGTTTAATATTAGAAATAAGCAGTTTTTGCAGCTATCAATGCGAATGACTCTGTAAAAATTGGATTCATTCTCGGTAAGAGATACCTTAGAGATCCTATTAAGGTGTAAGGCAACTAAGGTGCTAAAAC